AGGGTGGGGGTGGGGAGCAGAAGTCATGGCAGTTTTTGAGTTCTGGGCGCTGTCTGCCAGGCTTGGTGATAAAAACTTAACATCTGTTCTGTTATCCCATCTTCACAAACTCAGGAGGGCGATGCTGTTCTGTGCTCGTTTTACAGACGAGCAGCCTGAGGCCCAGAGCACTGAGGCCACCTGCCTGCAGTCACGCCCCTGGGACTAGGCAGGTCTGGTCGTTGAAAGCTGACCTGACTCCAGAGTCTGTCCTGGCTCTGGAACCTCCCAGTCAGGCCTCTCTTCTCAGCCTGGGGGAGGGGCTGGTGGTGACCTTGGGAGAACTGAAGGCAAGGCTTTGCCACCAGGAGGGTGTGACCTACTTCTAGGTCTCCGTGTCCTTCCCTGTTGGTGGTGATAACAGTGCCACCTTCCAGACAGTTCCACCTTCCAGAGGAGGGGGCATGAAAGGGCTTGGAAGAGAACATGCATCAGCAGTATGAGAAAACAGGTCCTTAATGTGTGAACTAGTGCAGTGGGGGTCAAGGTACAGCAAAGGAGGGCTAGGCCAGAAGCTGGGAAGTAAGGCAGCCTAGGACTTGGGCTTTACTTTCCTGAGGCCCAAAGGACCAGCTGCCTGTCCTAGACTTGTGGGCTGTCCTTCAAGGCTGGAGGCAGAGAAAGGGCTTAGTGGGGTCTCTGAGCAGAGAGAGTCAGTGAAGGCTGGAAACACCTAGACTGGAGAGCTCAACCCCATTAGGCAGACCGGGAGGTTCAAAGTCAGGTTGCAGTGTTCCTAAACTGTGTATGACTTTGAACAAGGTGCTTCCTCTCGGAGTAGAGAAAATGGGGCTCTCAGCATGTCTCAGGATGGCCATGAGGGGTACAAGTGTCTGACGGGGTGGGCATGGCAGCCCTGACCCTCCCCCATTCCTCTTCAGATGTGTGGTCGGCTGGATGCGTACTGGCCGAGCTCCTGCTGGGCCAGCCCATCTTCCCTGGGGACAGTGGGGTGGACCAGCTGGTGGAGATCATCAAGGTGACAGCACGGCTGGGTGGCCACGGGAGGGGCTAAGGGATAGGGGTTTGGGCTCAGACCCCTCCCTTCCCCTACAGGTGCTGGGAACACCAACCCGGGAACAGATCCGAGAGATGAACCCCAACTACACAGAGTTCAAGTTCCCCCAGATTAAAGCTCATCCCTGGACAAAGGTGGGGCAGGGCTAGGGGCCTCAGGCAACATGGCTGAGGTCCCCTTTGGAGACCACCTGGTCTGGGGGCCTGGCTGCAGTCACGGCTTGCAAGTGGGTCAGTCACTTTCATTAGATTGCAAAGTTTATGGGATTTCCCATATTCTAGAAGCTGAAGATCCTTAGTAGATTCAAAACCCCATTTTTCTGGAAATACCCAGGCAGTTCCCCTGATGCCAATTCAGTAATGCCCTCCCCTTCGTGGCTGTGCTTGTTTCTTCATTTGGAAAGTGGGTTTGTGGGATGGGCAGTAATACTTGCTGCAGGAGTATACCAGTACCTGGGCACCTTACCCATGTGACCTCCCCTCCCACCCCAAGGTGTTCAAATCTCGAACGCCGCCGGAGGCCATCGCGCTCTGCTCCAGCCTGCTGGAGTACACTCCGTCCTCGAGGCTGTCCCCGCTGGAGGCCTGCGCCCACAGCTTCTTCGATGAACTGCGAAGTCACGGAACCCAGCTCCCCAACAACCGCCCACTCCCCCCACTCTTCAATTTCAGTCCTGGTGGTGAGAGCATATAGCCTGGGATTCGGGGAGCTGGAAGGGCAGCCAGAGATTGTAGAGAAGACAGGAGTGGGGAGCTGAGGGTGGGCTACCAGGAAGGCCTGAGGCTCGGCATGTGACCCTGGTTCAGGGTGACCTGAATCAGCTCAGCCCACTCCGTGGTCTCCTGTGCTAGGCTCTTCCCAGCATTCCATTTAAAGCACCCAGTGGCTACACTCGTTCACAAACAGCTGGCCTTGCCAAGAGCCAGGTGCCCATTTGGTGCCCCTTTTTAACTTCAGCTGGGTCTCCAGATGCCCTGCCCTCTGACTGGGCATGTCCATTCCTGTCTCTAGAACTCTCCATCCAACCGTCTCTCAACGGCATTCTCATCCCCCTTCACTTGAGGTCCCCGGCGGGCACTGCGGCTCTCACTCCATCCTCACAAGGTAAGCTGGGGGCAGTCTGCTAGGGGTTAAAGCATTTCTCAGCCTGGGCGATGGGCCTGTTCTCACAGACCCTGTCTCCTGCAGGCATGGGAAAATCGTGGACATTTTGATGGTACACAAAGCATGTTTTTACAACATGTGCATGGCCATCTTTGTAGGGCATTGTTGCCTATATTTGTTTGAATTGCTAACTGGAAAACCAGACATATGTTGGACTTGGGCAAACAAATGAAGATTAAATTTGTTGCCCACATTTAAGAACTGGGGCTGTTTCATGGACAGATCCAGATTTCCTGTTTCTCTTGGGGAAGAAAGTCTGGCTGGGCAGCAGCGGGCCTGCCTTTCTCCAGGGCAGTGCTGTCATCTGGGGCCGAGGTCCAGCTGCCCCCGTTTATGTGAGAACTGGCTCTCTGGTGACCAACCTGGCCCCTCCACATTTGAGTTGCAAACCTGGACCTCAAATGACAGCTTTCAGTTTCTAATGTAGCATCTCACACTGCCTTCCTGCTCTTGGGGTGGGGGTCTGAAAGGCAGAGGCTAACTGTCTGCTCCTTCCTCCCCCCTCAGCTTTAAGTGAGGCTCAGACCGGCCCAGACTGGCAGTCGACTGATGCCACAACTCCCCTCACTAACTCTTCCTGAGGGCCCCACCAGCCACCCTTCCATCTGGGAGCCCCAAGTGGGGCTGGGAAGGGGGACCACAGCCCATCAAGCTCCTGCCCTGGCTGGGCCCCTAGACTAGAGGGCAGAGGGAAATGAATCCCTGTCCCCACCTCTTAGGCCCTCCCTCACCAGCCTTACCCCTGTGGTGGGCTTTTTAAGAGGATTTTAACTGGTTGTGGGGAGGGAAGAGAAGGAAGGACAGGGGGTTGGGGGCATGAGGATCTCCTACCCCCTTGGCCCCCTCCCTGCCCCCCAGGCCTCCACCTCCTCCAACTCCCCTCCCCTCCTATGTCCCTTGTAAATAGAACCAGACCAGCCCTTCTCCTCTTCCCCACCCTGGCCCCCAGGTGTAAATAGATTGTTATAATTTTTTTCTTAAAGAAAACGTCGATTCGCACCCTCCAGCCTTGTCCCTCCCCCCTGCAGCTGTGTCCTGTCCCATCCCATGCCCCCCTTCCTCTGCCCCTCAGGTCTCCTCCCTCTCCCTACCCTAGAGGGCTGGGGAGTCGGGGAGCTCCTGATGTCTTCGTTTCCACAGTAAGGTTTGCCTGTGTACAGACCTCCGTTCAATAAATTATTGGCATGAAAACCTGCTTCTTGTGTGGCCGCCTGTTTCCACAGAGGTGAGGGAGGGGCTGGGGACTGTCCTGGGACAGGACTGGACTGCATCTCAGGGGAGCAAGGTAGAGTGAGCCCAGGCTGGGCCACTGGAGCCTTAGTCCTGGGTCTGGCTTCTCACTGCAGAGGCCTGAGAGGAGCCTGCCCCATGGACCCAGCACAAACCCGCTTCTACCCAGGGAGGGAGGCACTGTCCTCTGCAGGTGACCAGTGAGAGAACTCGGGTCAGAAAAGTCAAGGCTACACAGTGGAAATGGCAGAGTCAAGACTTGAGCAAAGGGCTCCATCTCAGCCTGAGCTGCCTGTTGCTTCCAGGGGACACAGGATGGGCACTTAGGGATGCGGCAGAAGAGCTGTCCTCAAACCCTAGCAGGATCCCCAGAACGTAATCTTGTCTTAAACAGGGAAGACACCTAGCCTACCTCTTGGGGATGCTGGGAAGTGACAACCCTGGGAAGTCTGACGCAGAACTTGGCTTTGTCCCTCACTTTAAAAGCTTGCTGGGGCCAGGTGGTGGGGCCCTGGGCAGAGGGAAATGGCCTCTCCTCCACATGGTTCCAATGGCAGGCAAGGGCAGGAGGCCCCAGAAGTGGAAAAGGGTCTGGGGAGGAGTGACTGACGTGTCCTCTACCAGACTCCACTAGCGAAAAGAAAGGGAGAAGAGTTTTGAACACGTCCCGGAGGGAGTTCAGGGACTTAATGGCATCTGGGCTCTCCAGTCTGCTTAGGCCAGCCCTAGTGGCATCTGTGTACTGCCCCTCCCTGCTTATCACCCTCAGGACAGCACCCTGTTTGTGAGATGACTACGTATAGCAAGAAGCCCAGATGAAGGGAGGACTATCCTGGGTGAGGGCAGATCTAGGACTCCTGGAACCCCGTCCTCCCTGCTGCTGAAATCCTGTTGGCCATGAGGTTACTGAGGGTGTCCCTCGCCCTCCCATGCCCAGCCCATGGTCTCTGCCCAGCTCTGGCCCCATCCTTCCCCCTCTAGACTATCTCCCTCACCCCATGATGCTAGGGACCCTTAATCCCCAGTCATGACCCTTAGCCTTGCTTTCTCCCCAGGTCAGGTCTTCCTCCTTCCCCTGCCTCTGTGTCCCTCTGCCCAGCCTCCCTCCCAGACAATTCCCAGCCACATTTGCCTCACCTGCCTGAGCACTTTTGGTCTGCAAAGGCCTGGAAGGAACTTGCCCTCACTGACCTACCATAAATCACCTGCTTCCTTTTAGCAAGGGAAGGACTGTCACCCTGGGTAACCTTTAGAAAGGTGGGGGATCCCTTCCTGTTCCCAAGACCTTTGATCTTCCTGTCAAACTCTTAACTGCTTGGTGACACTGGCTTCCTTTTCCTCCCGCTGCAATGACTCCTTTGAGCCCCCAGCCCCTGCATGGGCTTCAGGTCACAATCAATAGCACTGGGTACAGGTGCAGGCGAATTCAGATCTTAGCAATGCTGCTGCCTAGCAGTGAGAACTTGGGCGAGTCTCATCTGTTATCCCATCTTCACAAACTCAGGAGGGCGATGCTGTTCTGTGCTCGTTTTACAGACGAGCAGCCTGAGGCCCAGAGCACTGAGGCCACCTGCCTGCAGTCACGCCCCTGGGACTAGGCAGGTCTGGTCGTTGAAAGCTGACCTGACTCCAGAGTCTGTCCTGGCTCTGGAACCTCCCAGTCAGGCCTCTCTTCTCAGCCTGGGGGAGGGGCTGGTGGTGACCTTGGGAGAACTGAAGGCAAGGCTTTGCCACCAGGAGGGTGTGACCTACTTCTAGGTCTCCGTGTCCTTCCCTGTTGGTGGTGATAACAGTGCCACCTTCCAGACAGTTCCACCTTCCAGAGGAGGGGGCATGAAAGGGCTTGGAAGAGAACATGCATCAGCAGTATGAGAAAACAGGTCCTTAATGTGTGAACTAGTGCAGTGGGGGTCAAGGTACAGCAAAGGAGGGCTAGGCCAGAAGCTGGGAAGTAAGGCAGCCTAGGACTTGGGCTTTACTTTCCTGAGGCCCAAAGGACCAGCTGCCTGTCCTAGACTTGTGGGCTGTCCTTCAAGGCTGGAGGCAGAGAAAGGGCTTAGTGGGGTCTCTGAGCAGAGAGAGTCAGTGAAGGCTGGAAACACCTAGACTGGAGAGCTCAACCCCATTAGGCAGACCGGGAGGTTCAAAGTCAGGTTGCAGTGTTCCTAAACTGTGTATGACTTTGAACAAGGTGCTTCCTCTCGGAGTAGAGAAAATGGGGCTCTCAGCATGTCTCAGGATGGCCATGAGGGGTACAAGTGTCTGACGGGGTGGGCATGGCAGCCCTGACCCTCCCCCATTCCTCTTCAGATGTGTGGTCGGCTGGATGCGTACTGGCCGAGCTCCTGCTGGGCCAGCCCATCTTCCCTGGGGACAGTGGGGTGGACCAGCTGGTGGAGATCATCAAGGTGACAGCAGGGCTGGGTGGCCACGGGAGGGGCTAAGGGATAGGGGTTTGGGCTCAGACCCCTCCCTTCCCCTACAGGTGCTGGGAACACCAACCCGGGAACAGATCCGAGAGATGAACCCCAACTACACAGAGTTCAAGTTCCCCCAGATTAAAGCTCATCCCTGGACAAAGGTGGGGCAGGGCTAGGGGCCTCAGGCAACATGGCTGAGGTCCCCTTTGGAGACCACCTGGTCTGGGGGCCTGGCTGCAGTCACGGCTTGCAAGTGGGTCAGTCACTTTCATTAGATTGCAAAGTTTATGGGATTTCCCATATTCTAGAAGCTGAAGATCCTTAGTAGATTCAAAACCCCATTTTTCTGGAAATACCCAGGCAGTTCCCCTGATGCCAATTCAGTAATGCCCTCCCCTTCGTGGCTGTGCTTGTTTCTTCATTTGGAAAGTGGGTTTGTGGGATGGGCAGTAATACTTGCTGCAGGAGTATACCAGTACCTGGGCACCTTACCCATGTGACCTCCCCTCCCACCCCAAGGTGTTCAAATCTCGAACGCCGCCGGAGGCCATCGCGCTCTGCTCCAGCCTGCTGGAGTACACTCCGTCCTCGAGGCTGTCCCCGCTGGAGGCCTGCGCCCACAGCTTCTTCGATGAACTGCGAAGTCACGGAACCCAGCTCCCCAACAACCGCCCACTCCCCCCACTCTTCAATTTCAGTCCTGGTGGTGAGAGCATAGCCTGGGATTCGGGGAGCTGGAAGGGCAGCCAGAGATTGTAGAGAAGACAGGAGTGGGGAGCTGAGGGTGGGCTACCAGGAAGGCCTGAGGCTCGGCATGTGACCCTGGTTCAGGGTGACCTGAATCAGCTCAGCCCACTCCGTGGTCTCCTGTGCTAGGCTCTTCCCAGCATTCCATTTAAAGCACCCAGTGGCTACACTCGTTCACAAACAGCTGGCCTTGCCAAGAGCCAGGTGCCCATTTGGTGCCCCTTTTTAACTTCAGCTGGGTCTCCAGATGCCCTGCCCTCTGACTGGGCATGTCCATTCCTGTCTCTAGAACTCTCCATCCAACCGTCTCTCAACGGCATTCTCATCCCCCTTCACTTGAGGTCCCCGGCGGGCACTGCGGCTCTCACTCCATCCTCACAAGGTAAGCTGGGGGCAGTCTGCTAGGGGTTAAAGCATTTCTCAGCCTGGGCGATGGGCCTGTTCTCACAGACCCTGTCTCCTGCAGGCATGGGAAAATCGTGGACATTTTGATGGTACACAAAGCATGTTTTTACAACATGTGCATGGCCATCTTTGTAGGGCATTGTTGCCTATATTTGTTTGAATTGCTAACTGGAAAACCAGACATATGTTGGACTTGGGCAAACAAATGAAGATTAAATTTGTTGCCCACATTTAAGAACTGGGGCTGTTTCATGGACAGATCCAGATTTCCTGTTTCTCTTGGGGAAGAAAGTCTGGCTGGGCAGCAGCGGGCCTGCCTTTCTCCAGGGCAGTGCTGTCATCTGGGGCCGAGGTCCAGCTGCCCCCGTTTATGTGAGAACTGGCTCTCTGGTGACCAACCTGGCCCCTCCACATTTGAGTTGCAAACCTGGACCTCAAATGACAGCTTTCAGTTTCTAATGTAGCATCTCACACTGCCTTCCTGCTCTTGGGGTGGGGGTCTGAAAGGCAGAGGCTAACTGTCTGCTCCTTCCTCCCCCCTCAGCTTTAAGTGAGGCTCAGACCGGCCCAGACTGGCAGTCGACTGATGCCACAACTCCCCTCACTAACTCTTCCTGAGGGCCCCACCAGCCACCCTTCCATCTGGGAGCCCCAAGTGGGGCTGGGAAGGGGGACCACAGCCCATCAAGCTCCTGCCCTGGCTGGGCCCCTAGACTAGAGGGCAGAGGGAAATGAATCCCTGTCCCCACCTCTTAGGCCCTCCCTCACCAGCCTTACCCCTGTGGTGGGCTTTTTAAGAGGATTTTAACTGGTTGTGGGGAGGGAAGAGAAGGAAGGACAGGGGGTTGGGGGCATGAGGATCTCCTACCCCCTTGGCCCCCTCCCTGCCCCCCAGGCCTCCACCTCCTCCAACTCCCCTCCCCTCCTATGTCCCTTGTAAATAGAACCAGACCAGCCCTTCTCCTCTTCCCCACCCTGGCCCCCAGGTGTAAATAGATTGTTATAATTTTTTTCTTAAAGAAAACGTCGATTCGCACCCTCCAGCCTTGTCCCTCCCCCCTGCAGCTGTGTCCTGTCCCATCCCATGCCCCCCTTCCTCTGCCCCTCAGGTCTCCTCCCTCTCCCTACCCTAGAGGGCTGGGGAGTCGGGGAGCTCCTGATGTCTTCGTTTCCACAGTAAGGTTTGCCTGTGTACAGACCTCCGTTCAATAAATTATTGGCATGAAAACCTGCTTCTTGTGTGGCCGCCTGTTTCCACAGAGGTGAGGGAGGGGCTGGGGACTGTCCTGGGACAGGACTGGACTGCATCTCAGGGGAGCAAGGTAGAGTGAGCCCAGGCTGGGCCACTGGAGCCTTAGTCCTGGGTCTGGCTTCTCACTGCAGAGGCCTGAGAGGAGCCTGCCCCATGGACCCAGCACAAACCCGCTTCTACCCAGGGAGGGAGGCACTGTCCTCTGCAGGTGACCAGTGAGAGAACTCGGGTCAGAAAAGTCAAGGCTACACAGTGGAAATGGCAGAGTCAAGACTTGAGCAAAGGGCTCCATCTCAGCCTGAGCTGCCTGTTGCTTCCAGGGGACACAGGATGGGCACTTAGGGATGCGGCAGAAGAGCTGTCCTCAAACCCTAGCAGGATCCCCAGAACGTAATCTTGTCTTAAACAGGGAAGACACCTAGCCTACCTCTTGGGGATGCTGGGAAGTGACAACCCTGGGAAGTCTGACGCAGAACTTGGCTTTGTCCCTCACTTTAAAAGCTTGCTGGGGCCAGGTGGTGGGGCCCTGGGCAGAGGGAAATGGCCTCTCCTCCACATGGTTCCAATGGCAGGCAAGGGCAGGAGGCCCCAGAAGTGGAAAAGGGTCTGGGGAGGAGTGACTGACGTGTCCTCTACCAGACTCCACTAGCGAAAAGAAAGGGAGAAGAGTTTTGAACACGTCCCGGAGGGAGTTCAGGGACTTAATGGCATCTGGGCTCTCCAGTCTGCTTAGGCCAGCCCTAGTGGCATCTGTGTACTGCCCCTCCCTGCTTATCACCCTCAGGACAGCACCCTGTTTGTGAGATGACTACGTATAGCAAGAAGCCCAGATGAAGGGAGGACTATCCTGGGTGAGGGCAGATCTAGGACTCCTGGAACCCCGTCCTCCCTGCTGCTGAAATCCTGTTGGCCATGAGGTTACTGAGGGTGTCCCTCGCCCTCCCATGCCCAGCCCATGGTCTCTGCCCAGCTCTGGCCCCATCCTTCCCCCTCTAGACTATCTCCCTCACCCCATGATGCTAGGGACCCTTAATCCCCAGTCATGACCCTTAGCCTTGCTTTCTCCCCAGGTCAGGTCTTCCTCCTTCCCCTGCCTCTGTGTCCCTCTGCCCAGCCTCCCTCCCAGACAATTCCCAGCCACATTTGCCTCACCTGCCTGAGCACTTTTGGTCTGCAAAGGCCTGGAAGGAACTTGCCCTCACTGACCTACCATAAATCACCTGCTTCCTTTTAGCAAGGGAAGGACTGTCACCCTGGGTAACCTTTAGAAAGGTGGGGGATCCCTTCCTGTTCCCAAGACCTTTGATCTTCCTGTCAAACTCTTAACTGCTTGGTGACACTGGCTTCCTTTTCCTCCCGCTGCAATGACTCCTTTGAGCCCCCAGCCCCTGCATGGGCTTCAGGTCACAATCAATAGCACTGGGTACAGGTGCAGGCGAATTCAGATCTTAGCAATGCTGCTGCCTAGCAGTGAGAACTTGGGCGAGTCTCTGTCCCTGGTTCCTTACCTGTACAAAAGGGCTAACACTGAGATTGCCTCACAGGCCCTCTCGGGTAACAGTACACGTATGGTGCTAACTGTGGTGCCTGCCACAGGTAGGCAGTCAACTGCCCACTGTATAATGGTTGTGAATAACTGGACAGTCTCCAAGTATACCAAGAACTCACTTGTGTGCTGCCTGCCTGAAATGTACTTTCTCTACCTCTTTCACTAGCAGATTCCTACTTTTTCTGCCAGGACCACCTCCCCTGGGAAATTTCACTCATCTCCCACCATGGAAGTCTTTGCTCTGGGAGGCACTGTGCCTGCACACTCCCATCTCAGCCCTGAGGATCCTGAGGCTGAGATCTCTAGGCCCCCAAGGGCAGGACAGAGGCCTGACTCATCTCTGGCCCCCAGAATCAGCTAGCACAGGGGAGGGGGGCCTCAGTACACCCAGGCTGAATCAATCGACGAGACCCTCAGATCAAGGCCATCCATACTTATGTATTCCTCCTACCCCACTGTGGGCCTCCTGGCACAGAGCCAATGGCTGATTCACTCCTGGGTCTCCAGCATCACTCAGTCTGCAGCTGAACACCTAGGTACCCACAGATTTCATTCCACATGGTCAAAAGTGAGATTATAGGAGGCTGGAGAAGTCAAGTGTCTCCTTCCACCAGGCAGAGCCAAGTCCTGGGTACCCAGAGTCCAGGGAAAGCTAGGGTGGGGGGACAAGCAGAGACCTGAGGGAGTATGTGACAGTGCCCAGCACAGACCTGGCACAAGGTCGGGGCTCAGGAAAGATTACCTGATGTTGTCGGGCACCAGTGTGATGCAGAGCAAAGAACCTTGGCAAACCCTGCTTTGCAATGCAACAGGGTGACCTGGGACAGATCATACTGTATCTCAGGGCTTCAGTTTCTCCTCAGGCAGAGAAAGGTGACAGGAAACCTGGTGGGGCTGTTCTGAGGAACCAGTAGTTAAGAGTCCAGGGTGGGTCCTGGCACCTAGTGGTGCCACAGAGGCTTGCCAGGGGGTGTTCCCCTGTCTCCCCAGAGGTGCCCAAGCTTGTTGATGCAGACTCTCTTATTGTTGCTCTCCAGATGGGTCACATGAAGGCTGTGTCCAAATGCAACAGCCCGCTTGCTTCACTGGCCCCCAGTGCAGCCTGGCACAGCTGCAGCGTGTCCTCAAGTGCCAGTGGCTGGGACGTCTCGATGATGGCAATGGTCTCCCCAAGCTCCGTGCACATGATAGTCTGCTGAGGCTCGGGGGGCGGAGGTGGGGCAGGAGGTGGCGATCTGGGTGGCTGCAGTGTCATTGCCCGGGCTCGAGCATGGACCCGCTGATGCAGTCGCAGGCCCGCCATGGCGTGGAACCAGCGGCCACATGTCCCACAGTAGTAAGGGCTCTTGTTGTAGAGACCAGTGATGGGGAGACGGGGTGCACGGGCAAAGGCGACGGGCCGCAAATGCAGCCTCCGGTGCTGCTGCAGGTTGGAGCTCTGCGTGAAGCGCTTGCCACAGTCCAGGCACTGGTAGGGACGCACGCCCGTGTGGGTCAGCTGGTGGCGGCTGAGGTTGGCCAGAGAAGCAAAAGTCTTGCCACACGAGTGGCACTGGAAGGGCCTCTCCCCTGTGTGTGTCCGCAGGTGGTTGCGCACGTGGACCAGCTTCTTGAAGCCCTTGCCGCAGACGCCGCAGCGGTGCCGCCGCTCAGGGGGCCCATGGACCGCGCGCCGGTGCCGGGAGAGCCGGGAGGCCGAGGCAAAGGACTTGGAGCACTGTGGGCAGGGCAGCTGGGCAGGCGGGGCAGGGGGTGGCGGTGGGGGTGGGGGCTCGGTCGGTGCAGGGGAGGCTGCTGCCGCTGTAGCGGCAGGCGGTGCCCCGCTCTTGCCGGCATGGGTGCGCCGGTGGTAGAGGAACTTGGTCATGTTGCTGAATGTTTTGCCACAGCGGCAGCGATGCAATGGGTTGGCAGTGTGGGCCCGCCGGTGCGCCACCAACGTGAGTTCTGTGCCGAAGCCACGGCCACAGTCCACGCAGAGGTAGCGGGCTTCGCCCCGGTGCAGCCGCAGGTGCTGTTCCAGGGAGGCTGCTTTCTTGAAGACCTTGGAGCAGGTCGTACACTCGTGGGTGCCACCAACATGGGCCCGCCCGTGAGCCAGCAGCCGGTTTGCTGAGCTGAAGCTGCGCTGGCACTGGCTGCAGTGGAATGGGTGAGCCGCTGATGCTGGGCCATGCAATGCCTGCCGGTGTCGCCGGCGTACCCCTGTTGAGGTCCAGTGCTGAGGACAAGCCCCACAGCCCTGGGCCCAGCCAGCTATGGACTTGTCACTTCCCACAGTATCATCACCAACCTCTGCCGCCACTGCGTCCTCCTCCTCCTCTGTCTCTTCATCATCTTCCTCCTCCTCCTCCTCCAGCCCATTACGCTCTTCTTTCTCTAGGGAGTCAAAGTGGGTGCCTTGATGCTCCAGGAACTCCTCAGGGGTGGCACAGAGTGTGGAGCACTCAGGACACTCATAGGGCTCCATCTTGACTTCGGGTGGAGCAGGGGGAGGAGGTGGTGCTGCGCGGTGAGGCAAAGGCGGTGGCGCTGGTGGTTCAGCTGCTGCAGCAGAAAGGTGCTGGGCCTTGCGATGGGCCACCCACAGCTCAGGTGAGGGGAACAGCTCTTGGCAGTCCCCACACTGGTACTGGATTTGGCTTGCAGATTCCCGGAGATGGGCATCCTGGTGGGCCAGGAGCTCGCTGGGGGACAGGATGAGCTGGCTGCACTCACTGCACTGGAAAGGCCCACCCTCAGTCCCTTGTTCCAGGCCAGTGTCTTGGGTGATCAGCGCCTCCTCCTCGGTGATAGCAGGCACATGCTGCTCCTGGTGTGAGAGAACTTCCTCCAGTGTGTTGTAGAGGCTGCCACACTCGGAGCACATGAATTGGTGGTGCTGGAAGAAGAGAGATGATGCAAGGGCCTCTCCTGGTGTCATCTCTGTCATCTCCCCTAACATCGGCATTGACATCTCCATTGCCCCTGGAGACATCTGTGTTGGCATTTCAGCTACCTCAGCCACCTCAGCCATTGTGGGGAAGACAGTGCCTGGAGAGAGAACGGGGAGCTGGTGAGCCAGCAGGAGCCCAAGGAAAGGGAGGATGTCTCAGGAATTCCCTTGCCTACCTCGCCACTCACCAGCCTCTATCAGTCAGCAAACCTGCATCCAGTGTGTGACTCAGTCATCAATGAGCCTGCAACTGTGAAGTTGATACATACCTCACACACATCTACAGGAGAGAGACAGCCCTGCTCAGTCTGGCCTCTGACGCTGTCCTCCTTACTCAGAGGGCCAGGCACACCGCTTTTGAGAATACACATCTTTGCGGGCCTCTCGGCCTTTGCCTGTGCAGTTCCCACTCTGAACAGCACCATGCCTCCCACATGTCCACACAGAGATGACGCCAAGCATTGAGGAGCACTGGCTCTGGGACCAGACTGCCCTTGGCTCGAATCTGAATACCACCACTTACCTCCTCTCTCTGAAACTGTTTTCTCATTTGTGAAATGGAGCAAAAAGTAGTGCTGACCACAAAGTCCTGCAAGTTGAGAAAGATTAGATAGAGCCATTACATGTAGTTCTCCAAACATGTTTTTGGACCCTAAGGTTTTGATGCTGCTATTCCTTCTGCCAAGAAAGTTCTTTCATCTTGTCTAGCAAACTCCTGCCCAGCATTTCCTTTGTGAAGCCTTTTCTGACAAAATCTCTACATCCTTCCTCCTTGGGGTTCCTCTGGTATCTTGTGCCATCTCTACCATACAAATATCACGAGCTTGGGATGGAGTCTCTGCTCCTCTCTGGCCTGAGCTTGCAGGAAAGGCAGGTCTGATTCATTGTAGAGTCACCGTCACCAAGAAAACCATGGATTAGGAACAGGGATTTAACTTTAGAACTTCCCTTTATGTACCCCACCACCTCCCTTACATGTGGGGGCTCAGTCTACCTTGGCCCTTTCATACAGCAGAAGCTCAGTCTCTTCAGCAACTGACTGCCCCCCCGCCACCAACCCACAGGCCTAGGAACTACTTTTCCAACAACCTACCATCTCCAGCTCTTCTTTAACTCTCATCTGTTAGTGCCAGAGGGCAAATGGAGTTTGGATTATAGTGGGCACACTAAAGTTGTTCACATTAAGCTCCCAGAGGGTAGGGATTTCAGTTTGTTTATCCTGAGTGTATTTCCGGCACCAAGAACAATACTCAACACACAACAGGCACTAAGCAGATGTTTAGTGAATGAATAACCCCTCTGGGAAGCAAGGTCTGGAGACTTTAACTGTCCCTGTGCACTTTTCACTTCTCCCACCAGACCAACTCTACTTTCAGAACGCGAATTCCCACAATAACACAGTCCAGCACAGGGCCCTTTTCAACTGGTCTGAAATTAATAACTCTCCTTGAATAAAATGGTTCATTACAAGCCCAGGAGCTAAACTTTCCTTAACCATCTATCCCAACTCCCTCACTAATTTTTGAGTTGCTAGGGCCTTGCACGCAACAGCCGTACCATATAGGATCTTCCTGGAAATAATCAACCAGGGGCCTGAGTTTAATTTTTCCTTGTTGACAGCCTCACTCCAAAGAGTGACTCCCCTGGGGTGAGGCCCAATACCTGGTATATGGCTTACACAAAGTAGGCATCCAGTAAATGTCCCTCTAGAAGGTGGCCCGAGAGACCTAAAATTTGGACTTCTCATTTACATTCTTCCCTTCCCAATCTTGGGTTATGAACTACTGGGGGAAGTAATGGGGGCTTTTTATACCTTAGACCATTAAGTCCCTCCAGGAAAGAACCCACCAGGGGCCTGGAAGTTCAACTTTCCCGCTATCTCCCACCAGACTTATCAACTCCGTAGCGTGAGCGATCCCAGCAAGGGGTTGGGACAGCGAGCTCACGCTGTAGAGTCCTGCATACAGCAGGTGCTCAATCAGTGCCCCAGGGCACATAGGAAGGAGTGTTCTCCTTTCACTCCGTGCCGCTCCCGCCCTACAGCAGGCCCCAAAGCTCTTCGCCCCCGGTGTCCCTTTCGTTCTCCCTCTACCCTCTCTGAATGACGGCGCTCTCTTCCCGGCCCACCCCGCGGCGCCCTCACCCGTCTCTCTCGCCTGCTGCAGCCCCCGCCGCTCTTGACACAGACCCTCCGCTCCAGGCGTGCGGGACCCCTTACTATCCACACCTCCCATTGGGCGGCGCCCTTACTCGTGGTGACCAATCAGAGCCGTCAGCGGAGGGCACAAGCCCTTGCGCCTGCGTGTTGACTCTCAGGCGGGGCTCAGCGAGTTTCTCCACGCACACAACTGTATCCAATGGGCGGGTCTCGAGGCTCCCGGCTTGGAGAAGCGCCTGCGCAGTTCGGGCACTTCTCTGCCAAGTCTGAAAGTTTAGTGGAGAGAAGTGGGCATCTTTGGAAAGCGAAGACCCATGGAGTGGACTGGCGCCGGGAGACATTGGCAGAGGTATCATTTCACAGCAGAAGAGAGCATCTCCGAGAGCTCACCTTTGGAGCCAGGCACATTAAGGGTACTTTCCCTTCTCAGGGCCTCCTTTTACTCCCTTGTAAAATGGGCTTAAGTCACATCCACCTCAAAGGCTGTTGAGGAGGGGATTGGATGAAATCAAACACGTAAAAGCGCCCAGCACAGGTCCTGATACACCGTGGGTGCGCACTAAACCCATCTAACATGGGCATAGCCTTTCGCAGTTTGTAAAATTGCTATCCTTTCCCTCCAACTTTTCGGCTGATTTAATGATGTTCACTTATTGGACGCCTACTGTGTGTCCGGCCCAGGACTGGGCTTCAGTAGGAGACTTAGAGGTCATTGCTGCAGCCTAAGCAGAGGCAGTGCTGAGGCAGCGCCAGGTGGGACCCAGGTCTTCCGCATCTCAAGAGGAGATAATTCGAGGGTGGTAACGGGTCCGGGGAGGCGACCTATCTCGAGGCACGTGCGGGCATTGACCTTGAGTCACCTAAGTGAACTGCAGGGTGGCCGCCACGCCCAAGGCCCCACCGCAGGGGAGAGACTCTCAGACATGCAGCCTCGAGGCTAGTCTATAGAGATCTGCTTGCGCCAAAGTGAAGCTCGTAGATGCAGGTTAGAGAAGGGGGTATCAGGACGCTCTGCGACCTTGGAGGGCGGAGATTGGAAGAGTTGGATCCCGTTCGAGTGGGTGGGTGTGTCTAACTGTAATGGGGAGGGTCGTGATGGACGCCATCAAGAGGTGCACAGTCAGGATGGAGGAGCCTATTGCAATCAGGAAGGAGATACTGTTCCCTAACATAAGATGTGGGAGTCCTAGTCTTGATCAGGGGAAGGATCTTATAGATGGGGGTTTCTGTTGGATGATGGGGGATTCCAGTCGGGATCATGAGATGGCTGGTTCCTATTAGGAGTAAGGGGAAGTCTAATGGAGGAGCATCCAAGTCCCGATCATATGGAGCCTGGGCGCTATTTGGAGACAGGACGGTTGTGATTGTGGCCCTTTGCATTGGGCAGCTGCGGCGTCTAGGTCGTGATTAGGAGTGGACTGTAGTCCATGACATGAGTAGTTCCAACAGGTCGTGACGTGAGACGCAGCGGCTTAAGTTACCCACGGAGAAGAGCTACCCGGCAACAGGGTACCACGTCCAGCCGGGACACTGAACCATTCTCGCTGTGCGCAGGCGCAGGGCATGAGGGCCCAGACTCTGCGGTTGGGGGCGGGCCCTGTAAGCTTAACTCTGCGCTTGCGCGGAAGGGGCGTGGCGGTCGCACCTGCGCGAGTTGGGGGAAGGAGGAGGGGCGGGGTGACGCAGGCGTAATAATAGAGAAGGTGCCAGAAAGATCCAAAACAAGTGGCTGCGGCCGTCGCCCAGGAGTCGTCAGACGCCGGAATCTGGTGAGGATCCAGAGAGGCCTAAGGGCGAATGGTGCAGGGTGGACGGAACCAGCTGGGGGCTGGAGAGAAGGCGGTACCGCCCTTACTGGGCGAGGGGATCGCGTTCAGACAGCACCACCTGTGTGGAGCTAAAGGCTGCTTGAGTCGGTCCGACTTGGAGGGGGCAGAGGGCCACTTGGGTGGAGCCGTGGCGCTGATCGGACAGTACCACTGGATGCCAAGGGGCACCTACGGACAGTACTGCCCAGAGTCGAAGGGCAGTTGGCAGGGTGCCCCGGGGTGGGCCCCCAGGCTTGTTAAGACCCAATCGCTTGGTCAGGTCCGGAGGCTGGTTCGGAACATACCACCTGGGGAGGGGCGTTCGGGCTCCGCCGGCCCGTCTGGTTGGAGGACGAGAGGGGTCTGGCGTCTCGATCTGTTACTAGGGGACCTCGGGCGATACCATTCTCTTCTGGGGGAAGGGGGACGCTGAGACCGCCGGGGTGTGAGGGTGGCCCTGCCCCGCGGGACGGGGCAGAGGAGACGCAATGGCGAGGTTGGGGCCCTGGCCCCCGCGTCGCTGACCACTGCCCCCTCCCCGTGTATGGGTTCTAGGCCCTGGTTCTGAGTTTGTAGCGCCCCCCTCCCCTGGGTATGTCGCTGTCCGGGTTGACCCCGGCTCAGAGCTGGGAGGAGGATGAGTGCCTGGACTACTACGGGATGCTGTCGCTTCACCGTATGTTCGAGGTGGTGGGCGGGCAACTGACCGAGTGCGAGTTGGAACTGCTGGCTTTCCTGCTGGATGAGGCCCCCGGCGCCGCCGGCGGCCTGGCCCGCGCCCGCAGCGGCTTGGAACTGCTGCTTGAGATGGAGCGCCGCGGGCAGTGCGACGAAAGCAACCTGCGTCTGCTGGGGCAACTCCTGCGCGTGCTGGCTCGCCACGACTTGCTACCGCACCTGGCGCGCAAGCGGCGCCGGCCAGGTAGGGTTGAATGGGAGGGTGACAGACTTCCGGTGGGGAGAGGGCCTTGCTGCCGCTGCGCACCTATGGTGCCGTGATATATGGACAGTGCCATATCAGACAGCCCAAGTCCCATTCCACTCACCCCTCCTCCCTGAGTATCAATGAAAAACACAAGCGGGAGGAGGCATGGCTTTGGGAGGGGTTTGCTTCAGCCACATCAATAATGTTGTTTGTGGCCGCTGTTTATGGAGGTCTAATTTCATGTCAGTTACAGCAGTAAGCCTTTAATATGAACTATCATCTTATATCCTCCTGGTAATTCTATGAGGGAATTCTGTTGGTCTCCACCGTACCAGGAAAACAGCAGGTTCAGAGAAGTTAAGCATCTTGCCCACAAGATGGGCACAGGAGATACAAGGTGACAGTGCTGACAAAGTGTTTGTTCCATGAAGCTTACATTTAGTGGGGGAATCTGACTTTAAGTAAGGTAACTTATTTTTTATTTGGTTATAGAAAGACTAAAACAAAGTAATGGAATGGTGAGAGTGGAAGGTGCTTCAAAGTGAAGTGAAGGTCCCCTTAGATTGGAGAACCAAGTCAAGATTATTCTGCAGAAGGTGACATTTAAACTGAGGCTACAGTGCTGCTGTGCATAGATCTCAGAGGAGAAAATTCCAGGCGGAAAGACAGGCTTTCAAGCCCTGAGGCAGGAATTAGTTTGGCATCCTCAAGAGGCCAGTGTGGCAGGAGCAGAGAGGACTGAAGCGAGGGCAAGGAGTCACGTCACACGGGGGCCTGCAGATAACCCAGAGAGAAAGGGTGAGGGCCAGGATCCAAACCTTGCTGGCTTGACTCCAGAGTCGATGCCCTTAATCCTTGTGAGGGAAGCACTCCTGGGACACAGCCGTTTTGAGGAAGTAAGAGGGTTTAAGGCATAGGAGACCCATGCATGCATAGCCTTCAAGCCACTGCGTGGGTTACTAGAGGTAGAGTGCCTAGTTTGTGGAGGGAGATGGTGTACTACTGCCCACAGTAAACCCGTGAGATTTGGATAACGAGGAGAAGGGCAGGGCTATAGAATGGACAGCGATTTTGGAAAAATACGTGGAGGTGTCAGGCTCTGGAAGATATTTGGGGAGCCTGCAGAGAGGCCATCCTACTCCTTGGAGCCTCAGGGAGAACTGGGGGCTGTTTATGGGGGGCAGCATTGTAGGGGACCTGATCATGACTCAGCTTACAGACTAATCCTGATGGAGTTGCTTTTGATCTGGGTTGGGTGGCCCCAGGCAGGGGTGAGTGCTCTATCTCCAGAGGTATTGAGCAGCCACTGAGCCCCTGGTGTTTAAGAGGGAGTGTGTGTCTGGGCTCTGACCTCTGGAGAATTCAGGCACCCTGTGGGGCAGGAGTTCATGGGGAGGGTGGTGGCAATTAGAGGCTGGGCCTGTGAGAGACCTGAAGCTGGGAATGCTTCTTTCCATTCTTCTGTCCCCCGCCCCAGTGTCTCCAGAACGCTACAACTATGGCACTTCCAGCTCATCTTCAAAAAGGGCTGAAGGCAGCTGCCGTCGCCGTCAGCAGTCCAGCAGTTCTTCAGATGCTCAGCAGGGTCAGTGGGAGACAGGTGAGCCCAGCTGGTGGGCATGATGGCAGTGATCCTCTTCCTTCTGAAACCTGGTGAACCTGCCCCATCCTGGCACATCAAGGAAGGGGCCAAAGGGGTCATTCTGCCTCATTTTTGCTTTGTGTGTGTGTGTTTATTTTTGGTACAAAAACATGTGTCCGGAAGCAACATACAGAATTATTTCTTGTTGTTTTCTGTTTCATCTAAATGGCATCACTTCATGGGTATCATTCTTCATGTGGTTGTCTTAGCAGGACATGGTTTTGAGATTTATTTATGTTAAGTAATTCTTAATTGGTTTATTTTAATTGCTGTGCCATTATTTATCCAATCTCCTCCTTCCCTAGTTTTTTAATTACTCAAAACATAATTTCAAACATACAGAGAAGTTGGAAGATTAATACAGTGAAGGTGTTCATATTTTCGCCTAGATTCAGTAATTTTAATGTTTTGCCACTCTTGTTTTATGTGTGTGTTTGTTAATTCTGGGTTTCTTGTTGAACTCTTTGAATGTTAAATTATAGCCATCAGGACACTTTACCCTTAAATCAGCAGGCTCTTCTGAAAAGAAGGGGTTTGACCTATATCACTTGACGACCATTATCATCCCCAAGAAAGTAAATGCTAATACTCTGATATCCTGATAGTCCATTTTCATATTGCCCCAAGATTGTCTCCGCTTTCAGGATTCACTCATTGTTGATCGGCTGTGCATT